GGATCTTACGGGGCAAGAGAGAGACTGGGGTAAGACCTAGGGAAGGAGGACTGCGTAACAATATGGCAGATCCTGATCAACATTCCCAGCACAAGGATGAAGGGGGGGGGCAGAAGGCCAGCGTGGAGTGCGGAAGGTTCTCTTGAAAGCCGATCAAAAGCGCACGCCGTACCACCTTTAATTAAGCAAGTAAAAAATTATGTCAGGCCTAATAGGAGGACATAGGAAATGTTCAGCACACGTTTGGTCAAAGGATCGGCTTCACTTGTCTCTTTGACGAGTTGTAATATGATGCTGTGAATAGAAAAACTCACTGACGATGCCGATTACGTTGTTGTGGTATCTCTCTTCTGCTAGGATATTCACCTATCTTATATCCTCGTATCACTTCTTCACTATCACAATTTATGAAGTGCTTATTTAAATGTATGGTGTGCCCTTATGAGCGGATTTCATGAGACACCAAACAACACGGCTACATTGCCACGAGTGCCTTTGGGTCACAGGGTAGATGTGAATTTAAATGAAGGACAGTCCTTTCCCATATCACATTCTGTGATGGGATTGTCGAGGAAACATACTTGTATTTGCTATAGAAATTGACTATGTTATTTATTACTACTTTATATGTAGGTTTTCGAGTCTACCAGAAGATCATTAGTAGTCTAGAAAATCTACTTATAAACTATAAATAAGTAATATAATGCTACGATAAATAAAATTTTGTTTCATCAACATTCCCACCACAATGTAATCTGGGAAAATTCCTGGTGTTCCTTGAAATTCACATTTGTCTTGTGCGCAAAGGACCTTCGCTGCCGTGTTGCGTAGCGGTTAACTTGTCGAGATTATCTGTTGCGAGTGCTAATGAGACCAATCAGGCGATTTCGAAACTACGGTCCACTCCAGCCAGGATGAGACTACCTTTTGCGAGGCATGGCTATGTGAAATTCAATGGAAATATAAGGTCTACTCGTTGTGGGAAAATTTAACGACCAATCTTCTTGTCACCTTAAACCCAAATAGGTTGAATACACCTCGTATAGTTTTATATCTTTAGTCTAATAGGGCATCAGCTTGCCTATCTTTAATATATTTGGTCTGCAAGTTTTTTCAATTAGATAAATAGATAAAAAATGGTTTGTCCTGGTTTTGCCACTTGAACTTATTGTCAAGGCAGCTTTTATGAGGGGAATTTTGTCCTGTGTCCTCTGTTATTGTATCCATGATTATTTCCATAATCGGATCACGGACTTGGCATATTAACAGACGTCTCGTCGGCATCGTAGTTTTTAGATAATTTGAAGTTTCACCAAAAAAGACACCTTACTTTAGTGTTAAATTAATTGCTAAATCAGCTAGACCTAACAGTTATTATGCTTTTCATTATATTATTGTTTTATGGAATTATTTCCTATAACCGCTTCCTAATATCCAATCGATCATTTTTGGCAATTATTTTAAGCCGCTATCATATCTTTTCTCCATAATGTGTCTAAACTTGCGTTAAATTGTCATGTGGAATCTATTTCTTTTTTCCTTTTTGTATATTTGAATTAATCTTGATTAAATTTTAATCATCCACTATTTTTTTGTCTTTTTACTTTAAAGGTAATCAACAAACTCTTGTTGAACTTTTCACTCTTTTCCGCGCCTTCTATTTCGACACTGGGGGACCTTCAAGCGTTGTCTCTATGCCTACTTGTCATGATGGAACTGGTACATTCGACTATCAATCTTGTTCTTTGTCTTCACAAGCACCTGCCGCCCCTCATCGTCCTTCCCCATCCTTTGCACAAAGCTCCCCAGCGTCTACTACCTTCAATAATAACATGGAATCCGACGACACTGACATTGATTGTGTTACAGAGTTATCCATTAGCGTCCTGCGCTTCAGTCTACTTTTAATCAGGCCTGTCCCTGCCCGAGAAGATGAAGACCGTGCTAGTGACTTTGCCGGGCAGGCAAATAGGCAACAACCACTTGCTGACATCAAAAACGTTCCTCCTCGTCGTGTAGTTGATCGCCTTGTCACAGCTAGCTTAACCGGAGCATCTTTAGAGGCCTTATTTACTCCCCGCACTCAATTTGTGCAATTTAGTCTTGAGGGAGCCCAACTTCTCGATCTTACTCACCTAGAAGTAATGATACAGCCGACCACTGCAGCTCCGGCTTCCTTTAATCAAAGACCGCCAAAACAGAGACAGGACACTAGTACTATTCATTCTCGTTCGACTAATCAAAACCGTACCTTTTACCATTGCAACCTTCCTCATCGACGGCCACACCGTCACCGACATATCTTCATTGTTGGCAGTCATCTTGAGGAGCAAGATAGGGATGGGCAATCAGCGACCATCCGTATCTTCAGCAAAGATGATAACGAATCTGGCGATTTTAGCAGGTTTGGACAGAATGCAAGAGATCGAATAGCAACAGCCCCACTTCATCTCTCGGTCTTTCGGGAAAGGCTCTCCCCAAACGCTTTGACATGGTCAGAAGCTTCTATCTCTGGTCAAATGAACAGAGTCATATATGTTCATTCACCACAGGTATACATCGATGCGCCCTTAACTTCTCACATTAATGGTTTAGCTGTTTCGTCCGTTTTTGTCAATATGCCCATCTTTTGCTTCCTAATCATAATTTGTTTATAGTCATTTTCTTCAGTTTTTAATATAATTTCAATGTTTATCGGCCAGTGCCGGGTTTTTTAAAACACTATTTATGCATTATTAATCATTTTTATATAAAAATTATATTTATGCATTGGCATATAATATTTCTTAAAAACCACCAGTTTTGGCTTATAATATTAACTAATTAGTATAATGTGATATTTTAGTCGCTATTTCCATCAGCCTTATAAATTTATCATTTTTGGATAATTTCCTATCTCCAACTCAACCACATGCCCCACCGAATTTATCATGATCATTCTTTCTTCTAGGCCCTCAGCGCAATTTCTAATTGGTTTCAAGGATTTCCACGACAAGCTACGCTGGCAGCACGTCGTCTTCGTCGAAGGCTAAGTCGTGCCGCTGGACGTGTTGTTGCTGATCACGTTGCCATGGCTCCCATCAGAACTTCTATGTCACCTCGGAGTGCTCGTTCACCCCGCCTGTGGGCTGACTCCATGCTTGCTGGTCCGGTAGCCCCATTTAGACCCATTTGTCCTCGGCTTAGCTTGCGATTTTATCAACCCGTTCTGGTGCTGCCCGAATCTTCCTTCTCAACACGTGTTTTAATTTGCCGCCTAGGAGACTTGACTTTGACTAACAAAACGGAAATTGGACATACTAATCCACTAAGTGAACCTGGTTCATCCGAAGCCACATTTAATCCCATCTTATCTCATTCGTCCTCCATCGAAAGGCCTATCCATTCTAACTACTTGACAGAATTTGAACAAATCGGTCCACTGCAGCCCTCTGCATTCTATCTGAGTCTGTCACGTGCTAGTCTCACTGCACTCGATTTGGCTCTTCTTGAATCGAAGACTAGCCCTGTCATTGTTTCTCACAATCCACACTCATCATCCAGCTCACTAATGAGCAAGGCACCTGGAAACCGGCTCTCGGCAACTGCTCTGGCGAGACGGGTGCTTGAGGTTTACCGAAGCGATACAATTTGGGCTGAAGAACAATTTATTATTAAGTCCGTTAGTGCATCTTTTGAGGTAAGCTA